CACAGCCTATCTGTAGATCTGAATCTGTTAGAAGATGTAAATAGGATAAAGATGTATCATTTGAACAGACATGGAGTTCTTGAGCCCTAGAAATGTGGATGTATCATTTGAACAAGACATGGAGATCTTGAGCCCTAGAAATGTGGATGTATCATTTGAACAAGACATGGAGTTCTTGAGCCCTAGAAATGTGGATGTATCATTTGAACAAGACATGGAGATCTTGAGCCCTAGAAATGTGGATGTATCATTTGAACAAGACATGGAGTTCTTGAGCCCTAGAAATGTGGATGTGTCATTTGAACAAGACATGGAGTTCTTGAGCCCTAGAAATGTGGAAGGTAATAAACGTTCAATTGATCATAGATATGTAACATATACAAAGGTTTTAGAATAATTATATTGATGGTTATAACTGTGTGGTTCCTGCTTTATCAAGTATTGCATCACATGTAGATGACTTTGTTAATGCTTGTTTAAATCATGTTTTTTTCCTTCTAACTAATGTTGTTCATTAATCTACTTAACTGGAGTGTACAGACTTAATTAAATGGATAAAGTTTACTGTGTGAATGTACAACATCAGTTAATGTTCCAAAAATAATCAACTAATTTTTCCAGTTATTACTGTTTACGATTATTCCAGCAAATCAGAATTATAATTAAACCGATAAATGTCATGAACATAATAAACTAATCAGAATTAATGTTTTTGGTTATTAGTGTTTTTGATAAACTGTCCATTAATTGAAATATTCCCATTATTATTTTTGATTAATTCAAGTTTGTTTAGCTCAATCAATTAATGTATATACACACACACATATTGTTGAATACCAAGTTAGATGATAAGGTGTTCAGGCTCTGCACAACCCGGGTATTAAAACCCAATTTTTAATTTTTATAGATTTTTGTTTTTAAGCCATCTCATGTGAGAGTATTCAGTTAGTTGAATGTAATTGATTCATGAGATGAGTGATTAATCAATTAGCAAATCCCACTAATTGCCCAACTCTGAAGATATTGAGTCTTAGTAACAAAAGTCTGTGTAACCTCAAGTACATCATGGTAATGACAAGCAGTTAACACCAGGGCTGTGGAATGTTTGTTAAAAATTTCTTGTTCAAGGGACAAAATGCTAGAAAAAATTACTTGTGTACCTCATCATATATTTACCATGTTTTACATGTAAGCTCTTCATGTATTTTATGGTTTTTAGTGTTTAGTCATAAGATTTTACAGAGCAACATGGAGAATACCTTGTGCATGAACTGATAAAATGGTGTTTAATATATGTGTGTAACATAATACCACATGCATGAACTGATAAAATGGTGTTTAATATGTGGGTAACAGAATACCACATGTCTGAACTGATAAAAGGGTGTTTAATATGTGTGTAACAGAATACCACATGCATGAACTGATAAAATAGTGTTTAATATATGTGTGTAACAGAATACCACCTGCAAGAACTGATAAAATGGTGTTTAATATATGTGTGTAAGAGATTACCACATGCATGAACTGTTTAAATAGTGTTTAATATATGTGTAACAGAAAACCACATGCATGAACTGTTAAAACAGTGTTTAATATATGTGTGTAACAGAATGCCACATGCATGAACTGATAAAAGGGTGTTTAATATGTGTGTAACAGAATGCCACATGCATGAACTGTTTAAATAGTGTTTAATATGTGTGTAACAGAATACCACATGCATGAACTGATAAAATAGTGTTTAATATATGTGTGTAACAGAATACCACCTGCAAGAACTGATAAAATGGTGTTTAATATATGTGTGTAACAGAATGCCACATGCATGAACTGATAAAAGGGTGTTTAATATGTGTGTAAAAGAATGCCACATGCATGAACTGATAAAAGGGTGTTTAATGTATGTGTGTAACAGAATACTACATTCATGAACTGATAAAATAGTGTTTAATATATGTGTGTAACAGAATGCCACATGCATGAACTGATAAAAGGGTGTTTAATATGTGTGTAACAGAATACCACCTGCAAGAACTGATAAAATGGTGTTTAATATATGTGTGTAACAGAATGCCACATGCATGAACTGATAACAGGGTGTTTAATATGTGTGTAAAAGAATGCCACATGCATGA